CTGCTGGATCAGACCAGTGGTCCAGCCTCCTGTCTCCCACAGTGGCCAACCAGTTCCTTTCATAATCTCAGTTCAGTAGAGCCTTATGTCGATTTGGGATTGTATGAGAATTAGAATTCTGCTGAGGGTAGAATAAGAAAGGAAACCAAGTTGCTGCCGAGGTGTCGAAGCCTGGGTGTCCTCCGGCTAGTCTCATAGTGCAATCCTAAGAGAGTTACACCCTTTTGAGTCTACGGACGTCCATGGGTTATGTTGTCGATAGCCAAGTCCTCTTTTCCATGGCTAACCTTTTCCAGATGTCCAAAATCTTGAAGTTAATCCAGAAATGCACATAACAAGAGGGTCATTGTTCTTGGTTAGCCTGTTCATGTGAGAGAATTGCATTAAAATGGCTACTCGTGGCGCTTTCCTCACTTGAAAACTGTCAAGGATTTATACAAAAAGACAGGAAATGTTGAACATGCACATGAACCTCCCTTATACGGAATAAGACCATCAGTCCATCAAGGTCAGTATTGTCTACTCAGACTGGCAGCCGCTCTCCAGGGTCTCAGACTGAGATCTTCCACATCGCCTCCTGCCTGGTCCTTTTAACTGGAGATGCTGGGAATTGAACCTGGAACCTTCTGCATGCCAAGCAGATGCTCTGCCACTGAGCCATGGCCCCTCTTTACAGCTCCCCAGGGTCTCAGGCTGAGGTCTTTCCCATCACCTCCAACCTGATCCTTTTAACTGGAGATGCCGGGGATTGAACCTGGGACCTTCTGCATGCCAAGCAGATGCTCTACCACTGAGCCACAATTCCACAGTACAGCTCTCCAGGGTCTCAGGCTGAGATCTTCCCCATCACCTACTGCCTGGTCCTTTTAACTGGAGATGCCGGGGATTGAACCTGGGACCTTCTGCATGCCGATGAAGACATGAAATTACCTTATACTGAATCAGACTATCGGTCCATCAAGATCAGTATTGTCTTCTCAGACTGGCAGCATCTCTCCAGGCTTTCAAAAAGAGGTCTTTCCCATCACCTCCTGCCCGGTCCTTTTAACTAGAGATGCCGGGGATTGAATTTGGGGCCTTCTGCATGCCAAGCAGAGGCTCCTCCACTGAGCCACGTGAGGGCAAAGTGGTGGAGATGTCCTAGGGCTTGACGATGTTGTAGGATGGTCTCCATGATTAGTTTGATGGGATTAGGGATAGATTTACCTTGTGCCTCTGAATGCCGACTGGTTCAATGATGTAGCCATGATAATAGAGAAGGTTCTGGAAGGAATCTTGTACTGGGAGCCAGTTTGGTGTAGTGGGTAGGAGTGGCAGACTCTCATCTGGGAGAACCGGGTTTGATTCCCCACTCCTCCACTTGCACCTGCTGGATGACCTTGGGCAAGCCATAGTTCTGTCAGAGGTGTTCTTGAAAAGAGCAGTTTCTGTCAGAGCTCTCTCAGCCCCACCTACCTCACAGGGTGCCTGTTGTGGGGAGGGGAAGGGAAAGGAGTTTGTAAGCTGCTCTGAGACTCCTCATGAAGGGTGGGGTATAAATCTCATCTCCTCCTCCTCCTCCTGTTCCTCCTCCTCCTCCTCCTCCACTTCTTCTTTGTAGCATTGTTTTTAATTCCGGCCACCATTCTCATTTCCTTGGTGGGACATCACAGACCTGCACCAAGATGTGGGGACCACCGTATAAGGTACAAGATCCATCGAGGCTAGTGGAGTCGACTTTGGACCAAAGAAGAAGAAGAGTTGGATTTGTACCCCACCCTTCACTCGGAGTCTCAGAGTGGCTTACAATCTCCTTCCCTTCCTCTCCCCACAGCAGAAACTGGTGGGGCTGAGAGAGCTCTGAAAGAACAGCTCTGAGAGAGCTGTGGCTGACCCAAGGTCACCCAGTTGGCTTCATGTGGAGGAGTGGAGAATTAACCCGGTTCTCTAGGTTAGAGTCTGCCACTCTCTACCACTACACCAAAGGAACTAGGGTTGCCAACCTCCAGACGAGGCCTGGAGCTTTCCCGGAATTAGGACTGATTTCCGGACTAGAGATCCGTTCCCTTGGAGAAAACGGCACCTTCAGAGGGTGAAATCAATGGGGGTCACATCCAATGTTCCCTCTAAGCCGTGGAGTCTTGTGAGCAAAAATTCTACTTTGTGAGCTACTGGCATTAAAGTTGTGAGCAAGCGATTCGGCTACTACATAAATCAGTTTGCTCTGGGGCCATCCTTCCTGAGCTGAGACAAAAACGTGTGAGCTGGAGGCTAAAAAACGGTGAGCTAGCTCACACCGACTCAGCTTAGAGGGAACACTGGTCACATCCCCTCTGAACTCCTTCCCTGAACTCCACCCTTTCCAGGCATCACCAACAAATATCCAAGCTGGAGTTGGCAGCCGTAGCAGGAACATAAATGGTGGTCTCACGTCACGAGTTTCATGAAGACTGGAGACGTGGTAGGAGGGAGACATTTTGGATGTAGCCTTTAGAGTGCAGATAGATTTGGCCATTGTAAATTTCGTTTTCATGCGACGTTTCGCATCTTTGATATTTCTTTTGGAAACGAAAAAGCCCAAGTTGTCCAGATGTAACAGATCAAGGCTTTCTTGTTATTATATCTGCGGTTCTTCAGTTGGGCATAGTTTTCCGAGCTTCCAAGAGAAGACAGGCAAGAGAGTCTCCTTGTGATGGAGTATTAAATTCTGTTTCCCGTGGTAGCCATGTTGGTCGGCAGTAGAGCAGCGAAATTCGAATCCAGCAGCACCTTAGAGAAGAACAAGGTTTTCCAGATATGAACTTCTGAGACTCAAAACTCCCTTCATCAAGAGCACCTCAGTGACCAACAATATTTTCAGGGGATGAGCTTTCGAGATTCAAAGTTCTCTCTGTCAGATAGGATCACACCCAAAAACAACTTGAGTCAGTCTGATGAAGTGGTTAGGAGCGCAGACTCTAATCTGGGAGAACCGGGTTTGATTCCTCACTCCTCCACATGCAGCTGCTGGTGTGACCTTGTGTCAGTCAACGTTCTCTCCGAGCTGTTCTCTCAGGAGCAGTCCTCGAGAGAGCTCTCTCAGCCCCACCGACCTCACAGGGCGTCTGTTGTGGGGAGGGGAAGGGAAGGAGATTGTAAGCCTCTCTGAGACTCCTTCAAGTAGTGACGGTCGGGGTATAAATCCAATCTCTTCTCTTCTTCTCTTTTTGTCTCCATGGTGCTACTGAACTCAAATCTAGCCATTAAATTCTGGAATGTGTACCTTTTAAGAGTCCTCAATCTCAGTTTTCCTTTTTTCCTGCCAGATGCCCTAGAACAAAAGTATTTCCCCTTGGCACAAATCTGGTTTTCAGAGGTCGCATGAGACTTCGACAGGCAGGGTATGCCTTTTGCCTCAATTTAAAAACTAGGCATTTCCATGGAACGGCAAGAGGGCAGCCGTTTTTGGTTGATTTTAGCAGACAGATCACATTGCTCTGAGAAAGTGAGCCGTTCACAAGCCGAAGCGTGAAGCTTCCCTGTATGTTTTGTTTCCCAAGGGGGGGGGGAGAAATCAATTAATCCTCATGATTAAAGTAAAACGCTCACAGCGGTACCCAAGCAGAGACAGAGGTATCCATCTCGGGGAACCACGCTGTGACAAATGAGAGAGGCAGGGTGTAAAAATCGAGATCCTACAGCGACTAGAAGAAGAAAAAAATCATTAACAAGGCAAACATAGTTTCTGATTTTGCTATCTGTGGAGGAGGAGGAGGAGGAGATTGGATTTATACCCCACCCTTCACTCGGAGTCTCAGAGCGGCTGACAAACTCCTTTCCCTTCCCCTCCCCACAACAGACACCCTGCGAGGTAGGTCTGAGAGAGCTCTGACAGAAACTGCCCTTTCAAGGATAGCTGTGCCAGAACTATGGCTTGCCCAAGGTCACCCAGCAGGTGCAAGTGGAGGAGTGGGGAATCAAACCCAGTTCTCCCAGATTAAAGTCCGTGCACTTAACCACGACACCAAACCTACAATAATCTGGTTCATAATAGAGGTTTATAAAATTATGTATGGGGTGAAGAGAGTTGACTAAGAGAGCCTTCCTTGGTGGTCTCCCTTCCAAGTACCGACCCTGCTTAGCTTCCAACTTATGGTGACTCCAGCAAGGGGCTTTCAAGGCAAGTGAGAAGCAGAGGTGGTTGGCCCTTGCCTTCCTCTGCAGAGCCTTCCTTCTTGGTCTCCCTTCCAAGTACCGACCCTGCTTAGCTTCCAACTTATGGTGACTCCAGCAAGGGGCTTTCAAGGCAAGTGAGAAGCAGAGGTGGTTGGCCATTGCCTTCCTCTGCAGAGCCTTCCTTCTTGGTCTCCCTTCCAAGTACCGACCCTGCTTAGCTTCCAACTTATGGTGACTCCAGCAAGGGGCTTTCAAGGCAAGTGAGAAGCAGAGGTGGTTGGCCATGGCCTTCCTCTGCAGAGCCTTCCTGGGTGGTCTTCCATCCACGTACCGACCCCACTTAGCTTCCAATTTATGGCGACCCCAGCAAGGGGCTTTCAAGGCAAGTGAGAAGCAGAGGTGGTTGGCCATGGCCTTCCTCTGCAGAGCCTTCCTGGGTGGTCTCTCTTCCAAGGACCGACCCTGCTTAGCTTCCGACTTATGGCGACGCCAGCAGGGGGCTTTCAAGGCAAGGGAGAAGCAGAGGTGGTTTGCCATTGCCTTCCTCTGCAGAGCCTTCCTTGGTGGTCTCCCTTCCAAGTAATGACCCTGCTTAGCTTCCATGATCTGATGAGATCGGTCTATATCATGCTGCCTTCCTTCCAGGGAGCACTATGCATATGCACAAATTGGATCAAGACCCGTGCAGAGAGAGTTGTGCATTGAAGAGCTCCCCAAATGGTTACAGTGCAGTTTCAAAATGCTGCAGCAGAAGAAATCTGTGTGGTTTTTTCTTACTGCGGAAAACATTAATATCCAAAAGCTTTTTTTATATGCTGGCTAGCTGCATTATATATCGTAGATTTGTTTTCTCTTCCCCGATGCAGTGTTCAGTCGAATGCGGCAGCGGAACCCAGCAGAGGGAAGTGATTTGTATCCGGAAGACCGAAAGCAGTTTTGAAATGCTGAATCCCTACGAGTGTTCATATTTGGAAAGGCCTCCCAGCCAACAAAACTGTGACCTCAAGCCTTGCGGCGCAAAATGGTTTAGTACCGAATGGAGCACGGTAAGACTTCCTTTTCCCTTCAGTTTTCTCTCTACACGCAGAGGTATACGGTCACTCTGAAACTGGATGGAAAAGGCACTGGGTCTAGTTCAGGGGTCTCCAACCTTGTAGGACAATTGCTATAGCCCCCTGAACATTTTGGTTGCCCGTTTTGGCACCTTTTCAAGCTATACAAGATTCTTTTTCTTTCTTTTTTTAGTGCAGAGACTAGCTCAGAACTCTACACAATATTCCAAGTGCGGTCTCACCACAGATTTGTATAAGGGCAGTATGATAGCAGAAATTTCATTCTCTCAGAGAGAGCCAGTTTGGTGTAGTGGTTAAGAGTGCGGTCTCTAATCTGGGAGAACCAGGTTTGATTCCCCACCCCTGCATATGCAGCTGCTGGTGTGACCTTGGGTCAGTCACAAGTTCTTATTTATTTTATTTATATCCCACTCTCCCTGCCGAGGCAGGCTCAGGGCGGCCTACACAAAGATAGTTGAACAGATAAAACAGGAAGTTGAATAAAATCACAATAAATAAGAAATGAAAACAGTGCATAAAGTGCTGGTATGAATCGCAAGGCGATGGCGGACAATGGCAACATCCGACAAATCGTACAGTCATCTAACGTCATAGTCTAGTTCATATTGGCGAATGCAGGCTGGTAATAATGATGTTCATATTGGGGCCAGGGCCTCAGTTTATGGAGTGCAGTTCCCTAATCGAAGGCCTGGTGGAAGAGCTCCGTCTTGCAGGCCCTGCGGAACTGTAAAAGGTCCCGTAGGGCCCTGATGTCTTCCGGGAGCTCATTCCACCAGTATGGAGCCGCTTCTCTGGGGCCCGGATTTCGGTACCAAGAGCTGTTCTCTCAAGGGCAGCTCTCAAAGGAGCTCTCTCAGCCCCACCTACCTCACAGGGTGTCTGTCATGGGGAGGTGTCATGGCTCAAGTGGGGTGTCACCTGATGCTGCCACCACTCTAGTTTTATGATCCCTTGAGAAGGCCCAGAGCACCCTTCCAAGACCTTCAGACCTCCCTTGTTTGGCCGAATAATAGGCAGATAGAGTAAACAACAAGTAAAAGGTTTATTTTACAGGAGGCCAGTCCAATACGGAAAACAAAGAAGGTGCAAGAACGATAACGATAAGGGGGTGAAGAGAAAAGAAGCCAAATGCCCTAACGCGACTAGACTCACAGTCTCCTAGCTCACTGTCTCAGTTGGGCCTGAGTCTACTCACCCTTCCTCTCAGGGTGAGGGTCTCTCCCAGCAGCAGCCTTCCCTCTGGCCCTTTCTCTGTGATTGGCTAAAATTGGCACCAAAACCTCTCAGGGACTTCTGGGAGTTGTAGGCCTGGCCTCCTCCCACTGCTACTCAGGCTCCCTGGGCCTGCTAGCCCTGACCATGACAGGAGGGAAAGACTCCTTTGGATGGTGATGGGCGGGGTATAAATCCAATCACTTCTTCCCTTCTTCGGATGTTAGCGATCACATCCTGTGGATTGCAGAAGCAGTCTTCCAACCTTCCGGCCGCACTTCTCACTAATGGCCAAAGCTGATCTCAGATCACAGACAGCTTTCAGGTTGAACCCTCTGGAGAACCCAACCCTGTTTGGCCGGGAATATTGTTTGGCCAAGGAGGAACCCCCCCACACAGACAACTTTTGGGGCGGCTGATGTAGGAAGTGACATCCAACCCTCTTATTCCCAAATAATTAGATTTAGAAGGATGGGGAAAGTTATCCTCCGAAACAAAACAGTTTGGATGTCTGAAGGCTAAGAAACTTTTTTGAATTAAAGTGTCTCTGAAGTTTTACGAGACGGCCGAGGCAGTGGAGTAGGCAGCGAGGAGCCGTGAAAATGGTATTTGAGTCTTAAGGCACATCTGGGGACCATAACTCCCGCAGAGCTCAAGAAAAGGAATAATAGCGGTGGACGGATGATTTATCCCACCCTGTCGTTTACACCGGACTTCATCTCAAGGACTGTAAATCAACAAAGGGATTCCCCCCTCCCTGAAATTTGGATAAGGATGCCCCCCTCTGCACGACGCGTCATAGCCATCAATTGCAATGATATATATACAGGGGTCATTTCGTAGGAAAAGAGGTGCAGGAGCTCATTAGCATAACTCATTAGCATAACTCATTTGCATATGCCACGCCCCCTGCCATCACCGGAAGTGTGTCAGAAGGCAACACCCACCACTCAGGCACCACTGGACTGTTTTGGATTGCTAGCTCTTGGGGGGCGGGGGGGCATACTTTTCAGTGTCAGAAGGCAAACTGAATAAAACTTGGTCTTAAAGGTGCCACTGGACTGTTTTGGACCGGGGGGATGGGGGGGGGGCTCTGCAGTTTACCTGGCTGCTTCTTGCTCTGACTGAGGGCTGCTGGGAGCAGGGGGGGGGGGCTTGTTGCATGTCCCCACCCCCTGGGCTCTACTGCCGGAGCTCTGCTCCTGTGTGCTCCTGCTCCATGGGCCTTGCGGCCAGGACAGTTTTTAAGAATACTAGAGAGTACACGGATCTATCAACAAAGAGATATCCGGCAGTTTCCCTAGAGAGACCGTATAGTCTAGGTATGGCCAGGGGTCATTTCCTGCATTTCCACCACGTTGGGGCACCACGGGTTATTTATTTATTTATTTATTACATTGCATTGCATTTATTAATCATCTAATCTCCACGATAGTGGGGCTCTAGGTGATGTACAGGTTTTAATACCATAAAAACATAAGACCATATCCAGCATATTATACAATAATTAAAAGCAAGTGGTAATTTCCCCCCCCCCCAGTTCCCTCCCATATCTGGTCTGTGAGTACTTCGGAAGCACCAGGAGGGAGTAAACGCCACAAGGAATAGGGATCCAGATAGGGTGCGGCTATGATGTAAACGGTCTCTGTCCTCAGCTGAATGCCTGGTGGAACATCTCTG